GTCTGTTATAGGCGAGATTTAACTGTAATTCTGTAAACAACATGGTGGGAAAATAAATTCCCAGCCTCATCTCGTGTGGTCATTTGATCTTACACTTGATCAAGTGCATCACTCACAAAAGAATAAAATATTTTGTTTATCATTCATATTTTGTACATACATGAATATATACAAATAACTCTATTTATTATGTAACATCATGGTGGTATTCTTTCAAATGGATCTGTATCATTAAAACAAGCATCAAATACACTGTCTACAACTGACTCAGCTTCTTTTCTAGTAACATCTCTTACAGACAGGATAGAGTTCACTGCTCTTTGCTTGACACATTTCTATATTCAACACAAAAGACATTATTCACATACTATAAATAATGATGTGTGCTCATAACATTGCATTATATAATATTTCAGTGATAATGGTCCATTGCTCCTATTTTTATCGGTTCCTGCAATCTCCTTATGGTGTGCTACACACAAAGCCTCTYTTTTGTTTATGAAAAAGTTTCCAACATATCACTCCTCAAAATTATAAGCCATGAACAATTTTTCACAGATTGTCCAAGAAGACAAAAAGAGTAAAAAGATTTGCTTCATAATATTGCAATCAAAGTGAAAAATTCACAATGCAATATGGTACCATATCAAATTTTCAAAATACCAATAACAAAAGGGAGGTGAGTTGATCACTTCAAGAATGAGRAAGAGCTTCTTCTCCCTGTGATGCTCTTGTAGAGTATGGACCTCAATAGCACCCAGGACTAAAACATGCCAAGAATGCTTTGCATATCATTCCCCTCGAAAAATCTGTAATATCAGATAGCACAACAAATGAACAGCTCAATTTTAAATAAATATGAAAGAAAATATATGTAAATTGAGTTTTGTTCAGTGTTGATATTATTTTGTAGGCCTGCCAGCTCTAAAAATACATGGCTGGTATGGCTATTCATAATATAAGAGAATGATTMTCTAGTACTACTATTTCAAGAAAATAGTAGAAGTTCGCTGTTTCAACATCTTTAGAGTTATGTTGACGAATAAATATTAATTATATTAAATTTATTATATTTAGCTTGTCTCAGCTCTAGAAGGTTATRCAACTAAGAAAGAGTACCACAGGTAACAAAGAAAAATGAAAATTGATTTAATTTAAACGGAAAAATTCTCGGCGGGATTAACCGCGGCAAAAGACGTAGGCCKCCCTAGTATTGCTTGAGAGAAGGACAAGAATGAATGAGCAAGTTTTTTACCCTAGTACAAGTTAAGTCAAGCTAGCGCCTAACGGTGCGCGCTGTTGGC